CCCCCCCCCTCCCTGGTTTGGTTCAAAGCACCGGACTAAACCGGTCGGTTCGATCTAATTGAATCTTTTCCTGTGGTATGATTATTTATTTATTTGGTTAACAACTTTTTTTTTTTTGCAATATTAGTCATATAAACTCAATTTGATCTCATATATGGCTTATTTCTGGAAAAAATAGATTCAACCGTCCAAAATACATTCTCTTTTAAATAAAATTTTCTTTTCTATTCATAATCCAGGATTTTGAATATCTCGTAAAATAATGATATTTAATACAAATTGTTGATAATATTTCACCTGACCACTTTTTTTTACAAATTATTCAAATAGATATAGTAAATTTAGTAATCAAATCTACTAGATTAAGTAACCTATTGATTGTTTATAACAATTACCAGATTATTTTTTATGGTAAATTTCGTTTTTTTAAGATAGTTATAACGTCTATTTGTTTTGGGAATATTTTAATGAGTATTGGTCGTATCTAAATAGCTTTCGATTATACTATTAATACATTTTTTAAGATTTTTTTATATAAATTTATCAAAAGAATATACTTTTATCGATAAATAAACTTTAAATTTTCTACTATTTTATTAAGTTTTAAAATATGGATAAAAAGTAAATCAAAATTGAAAATTTGGAATAAAACGATTTTAATATGCAAAAAAATAATAATAACAAACCGGTCCAAACCGGTAGCCCGGAAACCAAAAACTGTACCAGGTCCGGTTTTCTCTCGTTTCAATTTCTTTTCCAGCAAAGGAATAAAAGACTCGGTTTCTATACATATTAAATTTTTTAGTTTCTGCAATATTAATTATTTTCCCTTCTTTAAATAATTTATTTTGAGCTTTTATGTAATATGTTTTCCTTTTATACTTCCTTGTGCGACCTGTCATTTTCTCCCATATTTGTAAAAAAAATAGTTCTGGATTAATTGTTATGAAACAGTAAATTTTATTTTATTAATATTATATGTGTTCTACATATTAATTCATATCTTATTTTATTATTTATTCCCAGGGGAAAGTCACACATGTCAAACATCAAAATGCATAGCGTGTCAGAATATTAAAAAAACAATATTGAATCATGTCAAATCCAAATTAAAAGAATCCAATTAGTTTTTGTCTGTTTTTATTATTATTATTATTTTCCCATGTTTGCCTTTTTTGTAGTGGACCATTTTGCTTTTACATAAACTTCTTTTTATATACATTACAATTTAAAAATAAATAAATAAACAAATTAAGAATCTAAGATGCAAGTCTTTACCAATTTCAGTAAAATCTCATACTATATTTACAATTTCATCACCCCCAGAAAATTAATAAGCCTGTTCAATTGAAAATATCAATGATAAGTTTGTGCTATATGATAGATGCATAGATAGACAAATAAATAAATAAATAAAATAAAACCTAAGATACACAAAATAAAATTGATTTTTTATTGTACTATATTACAGGTAAATAAATTTTCATTTTTTCATAATTTTTAAACTACTCTCTGTCAGCTAACTTTAATATGAATTAATCATACATGGTAATTATCTGGTAGATATTACCACCCCCACATTAAATGGTTAGAATAGCTAAATTAATTAAGCAGGCAGAGAAATTAAATTAGAATTTAAGTGTCAAGTACGAATTTGCCAGAAAGGCCAAATTAAAAAGAAAACAATATGGTTTTTAATTTTTTACTAGTTACCATAAAACGACAAACGAAGTGACGTGGCATGTGCTTCAAAAGAAGCCAACAAACGGTGACGGCCTCACTGCCAGCATAGTTTTACGACGTTATAAAAGATGCACAAATTAACAGCGTAAATGACGATTTGAGCACGTTGACCAACATTTGCCAAGATATATATATATATATATATATATATATACACACACACTTAGTGGCATTGGGTATCTTATAAATATATAAAATGAACATCTATTCTACAAGCAACCCAACGGATTAAATAGTTGTTATCGTATGACCTAAAAAAATAATGTTTACATTATCATTCGTACTAATAATTTTATGGATTTGGCTTATAATTTATTACTTAAATAACTTAGTATAACTTTTCATGTATTTTTTTAATTTTTTATTTACAATTTTAAAAAACATATAAATAAAAATACTATAATTTAAAAAACGGAATCATATATTTAAATTAATTATAATTGGCCCATTTAGGTGAGTTGGTTGAATAGTCCATGATTTTCTAAGAGGTCATGGGTTCGATTCCGCTCATCTGCGAATTTGTCATCCTTTGGATGGTTTACCTGTGATTTGCAAACTATTACGCAGAGTCGGAGGGTTTATCACTGCGGTTGAAAGGTTGTGGTTGAGTTTTCGCCGATAAAAAAAAATATTTATAATTGATAACAATTATTTTAACCCTCTATTATATAGAGAATTGTATTAAAAAATAATTATAAATGATAAAAATGAGTACCTAACTATCATTAATATATATAATTTTAAATTTTTTAAAAATCTATTTTATATTTAGTTATTATTATTTTTCATATAAATATAAGAAAATTGCGTTAATACTAATTTCATATATCAATATTACATAATAAAAACTTTATTATATAATTTAAAAATTATCCAAAAAACTAGTATTCATATTTTCCCTTGATGAGTTGACGCTCTGGTGGAAAGTGGTCAAGCTCAACATAAATAGGGGGATCCGGGCCAATTTAACGGAGTTATTATTCGTGAATTGACCGTCAGTAAATGACGGCGATGTGGTCCTTATTTATGCCACGTGGCTCATGCATAACCTGACCTTTGAGCCATGGTTAAAAAAATCTGCAGTTCACTTCTTTTGCCTCTATTTTGTCATCTTCTACAAACTCAGCTTTTTTCCTGTTCTTTTTCCCTCATTACTTCCATCTTCTGCAAAGCCTTAGATTGACACGTGTCCTGACAAATTAAGATCGAACGGTGTAGATTCGAAGATTCCCAAAGAGACGGAGGCTCAGTCGACGGCTGATATTTATCAATCATTCCGTACGACGAATGAAAAAGGCAACGCTCTTCGCTGCACGTCTTCGCATCAATACGCAACGTTTTGGTCTCACGTTTACATTTCGAAAAGTATTTCTATATATATATATATATATATGGAGAAAATCTCACAAACATATAAACTTTTATCACATATATTAAAAAATATATCATTTTTTAATTTGATAAATAAATATATTAAATTTGAAAATATGTCAAAAAATATTTTAATTCTTTAAATCAAAAACAATTTTATTCACAATATTTAATTATAACATCAATGATTCTAATTAAATTGTTTAAAATGATTTCGCATACGAATTTTAACAATTTTTATTGAAAAATAATTTTCTATTTAGGTTTTAACAGTTGTGGATATATAAAAAATTCTTTTCAATTTTAAGAGTTAGATGTATTTTTTAGATATTTTAATATTTATTTTATGTATGTGTCAATCTAAAAATTGATGTAATTTTTGGATATATTTCATAAAATTTAGATATTTTTATGGGGTTTGATATATTTTATAAAGTTTAGATTAAAAGTTTCGTATTCGTACTAAATTAATCGTTTTTGTTTCGTATTATTTATACCAACAAACAACAAAGATACATGGGCGTGGAGTTGTATTTCTTGCAATAAATTACGTGATAATATTCTGTTTAACTAGGTGGAATTTTATTTGGATTTTTTTTTCCACGTTAAATGTTCACATCATTATTACGATTCTAAATGGTTGGAGAAGAACATGATAAATTTGCTAATTTCGGGTAAAATGAGATGATAAACTGAAATTCAGAAATGAAAATGATAAATTTAATATTTTCAATAAACATTTAGAGTATTATAACATTTTAAGACGTGTGCTAGGCAAGATTTTTGGGAATTCAATAAAATCAGATGAATATTTCTGATACTGTGGGCTTAAAAGAAATTTGAATGAATGGGCCCATATAACCCCTTGGGCCCAAACTATTTGATAATCAAGTTTTTTTAAAATTTGAAAATTTGGAAGACGAATAAATGATCCTCCCATTCTCTCTCTCAAAGAGGAATGGCGAATTCGCCGTCACAGAATAGTGCAGACCTTTTTGTTCATCATCTCTCTCAAGAAGCTGAATAGGATCTGTCGGCGTTTGTTTTTTTTTTAAATTCTTTTTGTTATCATTTATTTAATCATGTTTCGATTTGTTTTGTAAATTTAAACAAAGTCAGGATGGCCGAGTGGTCTAAGGCGCCAGACTCAAGTTCTGGTCCTCGGTAGAGGGCGTGGGTTCAAATCCCACTTCTGACAAGTGTTAAGTTTATTATTTTTAGTATATTTTTAAATTTATTTCGTTTACAGATATATTTAAAAATAAATAAATATATATACACCATCATTTAGTGTC